GCAGATTGTTTCCTGGGTGGTCTGTGGTTTCTAGGGTGTTCCTAGGGTTCCTAGGTGGTTTCTATTTGTCAGTGCAAAACTTCTTATTATGGGTTGCCAGGGTGTTGCTATGTAGTTGCTAGGGTGTTCTGATTTATAGGTTGTTGCTATGGTGTGGTTGCTAAGGTGTTTTTAACGGTTTATAGGGCATCTACAGATTGTTTCCAGGGTGGTCTGTGTGGTTTCTAGGGTGTTCCTAGGGTTTCTAGAGTGTTGCTAGGGTTCCTAGGTGGTTTCTAGGGTGTTGCTAGGGTTCCTAAGTGGTTTCTAGGGTGGTTTCTATTTGTCAGTGCAAAACGTCTTATTATGGGTTGCCAGGGTGTTGCTATGTAGTTGCTACGGTGTTCTGATTTATAGGTTGTTACTATGGTGTTTTTAACAGTTTATAGGGCATCTACAGATTGTTTCCAGGGTGGTCTGTGTGGTTTCTATGGTGTTGCTAGGGTTCCTAGGTGGTTTCTAGGGTGTTGCTAAGGTTCTTAGGTGATTTCTAGGGTAGATTCTATTTGCCAGTGCAAAACAGCTTCTTATGAGTTGCCAGGGTGTTGCTAAGGTGTTTTTAACAGTTTAAAGGTCATTTATTGGTTGTTGCCAGGGTGTTGCTTAGGTGTTATGAACAAATTGTAGGTCATTTATAGGTTGTTGTTATGGTGTTCTGTGTGGTTGCTAGGTGGTTTTTAGGGTGTTGCTATGTGGTGCTCCCCTTTATTTGTCAGTGCAGAACTTGTTGTCATGGGTGCCAGGTTGTGAATATGTGGTTGCTAAGGTGTTCGGAACAGTTTATAGAGCTTTTATAGATTGTTTCTAGGGTGTTCTGTGTGATTGCTAGAGCATTGCAATATAGTTGCTAAAGTGTTCTGAATGGTTTATAAGGCATTTATAGGTTGTTGCTATGAAGAACCTTATATGGACATGGTGTGGGCGTGTCTTATGCAAATTACTAACACTTGGCATGCTGTCACTCATTTAGAATACTACACTTAAAATGTGTAGTCGTTACAATTAAAATGAGGTTACAAATAATCTCCTGTGTGTGTGCATGCTACAAGGCTGAATTTTTTCTCCCGTGAGTATAAATACGAACAATTTATGCAACTATTAGTGAAACAGACCTAGTGTCATCAAGCTTCTCAAGATTTGACTCTTTTCTACAGTATTTAAAGGCCTTCAAATGTCCGAATCATCTCACAAGCCTGTTTGAAACAATCTGTACAATATAAAGCACATATGTATATATATAAATAAATGGCACTTGATTTAAAAGGCCCTGGGTGGCTCTCATCATACCTCTCTTGGCACCTGCAAAAATAAAGGTGAAAAAACAACCAATCAGAAAAGGAGCCAAAAACACATGAACAGGAACTTTAGATGAGTTAAACCAAAGAGATCTGCTCTCTGACCTCATAAATGGCGAATCCAATGGTCTCCATGTCCTGTCCTTCTCTCCGCTTCTTTCTGCGGTCCTTCTGCATCAGCGCCACCAGGAAGCTGCAATCCGATTGGCCGGGAGAATCCGGGTGTTTTAGGGTCACCTTGAACTGAGGGTTGATCCAGAATGTGGCTGTGGTTTATAGAAACAAAAGAGGCAGATGAGGATTTGGCTGTTTTCCCACCACTGACCCGCCGTTCCCTGTCCCCTGCTGTACCTGGGAAGTTCCTGCATCCGCCGGCCGTGCTTCCTCTCCTCCACTCGCCCTGATAGAGCGACGTGCTCCACTTCTTCACCTGACCCGCCTGGAGCGCATCTGCCGTCAGGTTACAGATCTCCAGCCGACTGAACTCACGCAGGAAGTCACTGAACGACATCCTGACAGAGAGAGTGAGAACCAGTGACCCACTGAGCGGTGCTGGCGAATTATAAGGTTGCTAATGTGTTCTGAACTGTTTACAGGGCATTTATAGGTCATTGCTATGGTGTTCTGTTTGGTTGTTAGGTGGTTTCTATGATGTTGCTATGTTCTGAACAGTTTACAGGGCATTTATAGGTTGTTGATAGGGTGTTCTGTTTGGTTGTTAGGTGGTTTCTAGGGCGTTGCTATGTTCTGAATGGTTTACAGGACATTTATAGGTTGTTGATAGGGTGTTCTGTTTGGTTGTTAAGTGGTTTCTAGGGCGTTGCTATGTTCTGAATGGTTTACAGG